ACTGCATAAAGAAGTAGTTGATGTCTTTTCAGAGAAATAAATTACATTTTGTTGACATCCACATTTGATGCAGATATCCTGAATTCAGTGATACTCCATATCATCGAGTGAGAAGAACTATGGCACGTCATAAGTTGGAGGTAAATCCTTCATTTCCTCACTCAGTCGAAGAATTCGGTCGATCCTTGGAAACAGATAACGGAAAAGCCCTATTAACCTACCCCAAAAGCAAAATGACATCGCAAGTTCTCATAGATACTAATGGTGACGTATCAGTTGTCCTGGCTGATCTAAATTTCATCAAAACAATTGTCGAAAATAATGTTGGAGACAGTGTAACACTATTTATTGATGCAACGTTTGATTCAGTTCCGAGGAAACTGAAAATAAAACAGTTGTTGGAGATTAAAATTTATCTCTTTGATCACGTGAGGGTTTACTTGAATGATTTCTATGGAAGTCAAAACAAGCGTTTCTTTGAGTATTCGAGAAAAAATGAATTACTTTGACTACTTATAGAGCGTTGCAATTTTTTAAAATAATGTAGTGATTCTTAATTTTCCTATTTGCAATTGTTCCACAGACACTGAAAAATCGCCACAGAGCCCATGACTTTTCAATCTATTGGAAATTTAAACTTTTATTGAAAAATAAAATATATTTTAAGGGCCGGATGAACAATCTATCGAACGCGATCTTGTCTTTAAATTCTATCTTTTTAATTTGATTAAAAAATCATTAAAAAAGGTGCTGCCCCCATCGCATGTAAGGTTCGACAATTGTTCATGCACTTATGGAAAGGAAGACAGAAGAGTCTTACTACGAAGTCTACAAATATGTCTTTAAAAAATTATCTCCAGAGCTAGCAACGAAGCGAATGAAAGTTCATATGGATTTTGAAGAAGTGGAAAGAAATGCACTGCTGAGGGTAGTTCATTCAGCCTTGATACTTCTGTGCAAATTCCATCTGGACCAGGTATTTTATTAAATTACCTCACAAATTTATCTCGAGATAAAAGAGGGGTCGGGAAGTACCGAGATAACTTCATGATTGAAAAATGTCTCGATTTTCTTTCAACACTTTCGAATCCTGTCTAGTTTTGAGATGAATCGAAGAATTCATAGGAAAAGAAATCTTTCAAAATTAACAAATAATTCTATGAGAAGTTATAAAACAAATGCCTTTCAAACTTCTTTTGTTTGGAGGCAAATGTCAAAATTGGGGGACGTTGGCCATGGGGGACATTGGTGGACACCCTAGTGGAGGGTGGGACAAAATGGACTCGTGGACATTTTTTTAAATTGCTGATTGGATAAAAGTAGGACATTTTTTTTCTATTACTCAGAAATATTTCTCCCTGGTACTTCTGGGCAGATCTTGTTTTCTCATGAGCTACCTCTGGCCTTGTTTGCTGTTTAACTCAGTTTCTTCGGTGCATTAATTTTTTTAGCTTGCTTGTCAGCAAATTGATTCCGATAACTTGAACATGTTACGATCATTGTGTGACCTGGTGCTCAGCGGTTTTCGAGACGTTCAAGGCTGACAATAATCCCAACTCATTTTATACCGATTCAAATTGCACAGCTTGTAGAAGATAATTTTCTACATATTTTATAAGGATTTTGTTGGTTTCTTTTGTTCTTCTCGTTTTTGTTTTCTCAATATCTTCTTTCAGAACTAAAAAATCGCCCACTTAAGCCATAATTTTGTAAACAAAAATTCCATACCATGACGTTCAGGTCGAGTGTTACGGAATCAGTAATTAAAGAAAAAATGTGTACCGGTCCATTTTGCCCCGGGGTCTATTCTTCCCTCCCCCCCTTATTTTATTTTGAAGATAATTTTCTACTCTTCAGAATGGTATATGTTTGATCTTATTCAATTATTATTTTCATGGCGTTGTTGGAGTTTTTTCCATCCCTAATGTTATGGCACACCCTAAAAATTAATATTCTTTACCAACTTTTATGTCTATTGATTTAACCGGTAGAGATACTCTATAAATCAATTAGAAAGGTTTCAGAAAGCTCCGTATCACCTTCTATCGATTCGCGGGCATTTTCAGACCAAAATGTATTTCTTTGTTTTCACTCAACATTCAGTTCCTTTTTGACTTTTCAGTACTTCCAAGCAAGCATCAGAATATTTATACATAATTTCGAAGAACGTTTGCAGCTCTTCAAAACGATATAATTTAACTCTGTTTTTCTTCGATTTTCAGAGAGACATGATGATTTTTTTCTATTATTAATTATACCATAAATTCGGCGTTTTACTCTAAACTATTCTGACTTTGAATTCTATTCGCGGAGATATATTATATACGAATTCAAAGGTCTGAATGAAATCTATAAAATAACATTTGAGTTATTGAATTTAGATGATTTTCCTTTGGGTCATGACAGTTTTTACAAAAAATGATGTTAAAATTGACTCAAAATCCCAAGTGTTCTTTAGCGTTCCATTTCGCTTTATGTAAAGTGTCGTAATATATAAATGACTCTTGTAACGAGATTTTTCTCGTTACTAAAGAAAACACTAGTAAAGTCACTAGGTGAAAGGAACGACATCTAACGCCGGCTGAAATAGCCGAGCGAAAGATGAGTAGAACATCGGACGACGGCCAATCAGGCCGCTCCGAAGGTGAATTTGACCAATCACATAGTGGGAAGAAACGTGGTAGGGTGAGACCATGTTTCGGAACACTGTGATGGCGCTGACGATAGCTGTTTCCCAATTCGGAAATCCACCCAGCTGTGTTAGGGAGTCCAGGGCCGACGTACAGGCATTCCAACTGGATGGTTCCGAAGGGCGCCATCGACTTAGACCAGGGACCAACGGCTAGGTGAAAGGACGAGACACGGGATCCCGTCGAGTTGATTGGTGGCTGTGGGGTAACGGATGACCCACAGTCGCGGAGATGCTCAGACTAGGGGGAGAAGGCCTTGGGAGATTTCCGGACAGTTCGCGTTGAGTGCTGGTCTCGAGGGGATGTTTTAGGAGCTCGGGATCAGTTGGCGGCAATAATTCCTGCCGGGATTATGAAGAGTACGTGGTTCCAAGGAATCTTGGAATAGCGAGAGGAGGGGACACTTATGTGTCCCCGATCAATGCAATGAATTACTTTGAGGCTACGGACGAGAGTCCGAGGCTACAGAGATCCATCTCTAGGGCGAAGTCAATGGTGTTGGGGTGGACTATGGGCTGGGATTCAAGGTGTTTCCCGTCGGTCCGGTCGCACGCGCCTCCATGGGAAGTAACTCTAGTTTTGACTCGCGATGAGATTGCTATTACCGAGTTCTCGAGTTGGGGTGGACGTTAGGTGGGTGAGAAACGTCTCCGGATACCTACGTCGCATGTGCCTCGAGCAGTTCGGCGCCCTGCGGGGTGAGAAGGATTCGCAGGTAATCTGTGTCTTGTCTGGAGTTGAGCCACCCCAGAGGAGAGAGTACCACGTGCGAGGAATGGTCACATCCCTCCACGAGAGTCTGGGGAATACATTCCTCGAAAGATATCGTTGACGATGCCGTACGCGCGGCAGAAGTTAGTGATTGAAGTTACTCGTACGTTGGTGAACCTCGCCCACTCTACCGTGCCATGCTGATGCTGGCTCGGGATTGTGAGACCCACCACCGAAAGTCCGCGGGGTTGACGAAATTCCTTCGCGGCTGGTTTTCCGTCAGGTTTTCCAGAAAAACCTGGCTGGCGCCCAATCGTGAACGATAGAGGTGGCAGCCAGAATAGTTCGAGGAATATCCCGGAGTGTTGACCCGGGAAAAATACTCTTACACTCTACTAAAACGCCTTTGTCTTTTTATCCATCTGTGTGCGGTTATTACTTTCCTGTTCTGGATGAACGGTATGTGTAACTATTATATTTGGAAAAAAATTACGGAAAAGAGGAGGGCAAATCTAGGTAACCGATTGTACTCTTACGATTTGACCCATAACTTTTTCCCCACATACATATTTTTATTGAATCTGGCAAGCGATGGAGTTTAAATTGGAAAGTGGACTGGTTTAGATTTTTTCTCGACGATATCCAGAGACGCCGAGTACAGGATAGAATGACCGTTTGCTTCAACCTGGACAGGCAGTGAAGGGTAGCGTCGGCGGTAATTTTAGGTGGTAGATTTGTGAATACGGCATTTCGGGTGACTGAAACATAGAGGTTAATACCAGGAGAGGATTCCTCGTGAAGCTGCAATCCGCGTTGAAGAGAAGACGAAATGGATTTTGGGTCTCGTATTAATAATACTCGACATATATTGGTCCTGAGGGAATAGCGCAATGGGGTTCAGGGTTGAGTGTATACTTTCTGAGCAACGCAGGGCGCTGTTGCTAGATGTGATGGTGAATAAATAGCTTGGGGATGTGCAGATCGGGAGCCTGAGGTGCCACAGGTGTCAGAGGTGAGAGGCGAAGAGAGCAAAAAGCTTGGTGGGTCATGTCAGTGTGGATAATATTAATTGGGTGGAAAACTGAACAGAACCAGAATCGTTCAACCTAGTTAGCCTGCCCAGAGGAAGGGTCTGCCTAGTCCCTTTAAAAAAAAAAGCATGTAACGTTTTTTGTCAGCTTTTTTTGGCGCTATGCATATCAAAATATATCTATATAATATGATATATATATATAATAT